CAGGGACGTTTTGAATCGCTTGTCATCTCGCAATAAACATCTTACTCTCTGATTCCATGGCTCCTGCTTCTTTCCCTCACACAACACGTATGTAACAACTTCCCACAGAACAGAAAGGAAAGTTGAGGATCAACTGACCACATGTGGTTGCTTGCCTGCCTCTTTTGGCTTGTGAATTGTTATCTCATTTATTATTACTGAACTCTGCATATGTTTTAGTCTGCATTTAACAATGCCCAAAAAAGGCTATTACTTTGCATGGGCTGATTTCTGAGCTTGACCTTGTTTATATCATTGCAGTCTGTGCCAATGAGTCATATTGCCTCATTAACCTTTCTGCCAGTCAGAGGTCTTTTGGAAAGTAAGGTGAACATTGCTTTACACTTTCTTATTTTTCTTAGTAATCAGTTTCTTGACTGTGGCTGCTGCAAACTGTAACTTTGTTCTCTTGAGCTAATGAATTAGTAACATTGATTACCAGAAAGCATGTGCCACATGATCATTTCTGCCTTATTTGCTGGGAGTTATTCTGTGCGCGGGCAAGCTGCTGACCACAGCAATCATTTACATGAATACCTAGGACACAGAGGAAGGTTGCTCCTAGTTCAGCCTGGATCAGGTGAACCAGTAGTAGTGGCAGCAGGAGGCTCTGCCCACCCTCCTGGATGCTTCTGCACATGCACAGAAGCATCGTGCATGGGTGGGAGCCAGCGCAGAAGCAAAAAAAATTGCCAACTCACCACTGCTAGGACATATTCTCCACCCATCAACCCCCAATGTTTGGGGGCCTTCTTAAAAATTAGTGCTTTAATTAAGGTTTGAATTACGAGAGCTAAGGAAAAAGAAAGCCATGTAATTGACAAAAGACATTTCTTGCTAACACTGAAAACTGGAGCGGTTGAGTTTTGCATGGGGGAGACCAGGTTTCAAATCCTAATTGTGGCACAGAATTCATTGAACATTCTTGTGGCAATTGATTTATATTAATTTACCTCATTAGACTGTTGCGAGTATTCAAGGGCAAGAACTATTTCTACTACAATAAACACCTCAGTAGGACTGCCGGGTTTATTATGTGCCTTCAAGTCAATAGCTATTTTTAATAACCATGTGGATAGAGTTTCTCCAGGTCATTTTTACCTACACCTTCATTTACATCTTCAAATACATCTACCTTGCTCCTTGAGTTATCTTTTTTTTCTTTCCATCTTTTCCAGCATTATATATTTTTAAAAGAAATCTAATTCTTCATATAATGTATGAATAATTTGTACAATAATTTGAAACTGATAATTTGTACATGTGGATTCATTTGTTTTCTTGACTATCCTTGTTATTCTCAGAAGTCTTCTTCAACACCAAAGTTCAAAGCCTGCTTCTTCAAAATCACTTCCATAGAGGAATATCCATGGGTAGTTATCGCCTGCATGATTCTGATCTAGACATAGACTGATCATGGCATCTGAATAATCTTTCCAAGATCTTCATTGTTACTCTACCGCAGTGGTTCCCAAACTTGGCAACTTTAAGACTTGTGGACTTCAACTCCCAGAATTCTCCAGCCAGCTTTCCGTGTGCTAATCTGCAGCATATTACTTAGCTTCGGGTTTCTTTATTGTTGATAGTAAATCCTGAAAAGCAGAAGCTATCTGTTTCAGCATCTTTATTATCAATTTTAAGGATGATTGTGGTATTTATTGTTATTGTCTTTAATTTAGTATTAGTTCCATTATTTTAGTGTGTTTCTTGACTTTCATAATTAAAACTTGCAAGTCACTTGGATTTTGAAATATCAGAGTACAGTACTGTCATTGGCATAGCACCAATTAGTGACCTAGTTTTAAAGAAGCACAAAACTTCTAAATCCTGCTTCCTTCAGTATATATTCAGCATATAGGTTTAATACTATCATCAGCAGATTTACGATATAGATCTCTAAACAAATTTAAACAAGGTGGCATACACAGTTCACACCACTTCATGAGAACTGGTTGTTAACTTTCTGAACAGTTTAGTGAACTGGTTGTTGGAAGAAATCATTAAGGCAGAGAAACTGGTTGTTAAATTATTTGAATCCCACCACTGGGCATATCCCATTTTTTCCCTTCAACTATCTAGCATAAATCATCAATAATATCTTGTATTCTTCTGCTTTTCTTTTTTTAAAATAAAACCAATCAAATAATTGGCAGTGCCCATTCTCTATAGGGCTCTAATCTGTATGGGATGATCCAAAATATTATTTTCCTAGCACATGAAATTAAGCATATTGTGTGATAGTTTGCACACTCTGTTAAGTCTCCTTTCTTTAATATTTTATGTAGAATATCTTTTCAAATTTGTAACTATTGTGTTGTACTTCAGACTTGCTGGTCAGTTTGGCTAGAATCTTTACTGATCCTTCTTTTATTGTGATGAAAGAAATGTGCTTCTGGGTTCGGCTCCAAGTGGGGAAAAAGANCATACTTTTTCTTGCAACTGTATATATAGAGATATAGATATAGATATAGATGGAGCAAAAAGGGTGGAAAATCTATTTTAGAAACATTGTACATACAGATTCTGAAAGTTATTTCATGTTATGCTTTCTTGCTATTTGTATAGTCAATGACATATTTCTTCATCTATATATAGATGAGGTCAGGTATTTTTTCGGCTGTGTTAAAAGACTTCTGCTTAGTACTTTTATAGCTCCTCAGGATAGAATATTTTTCGAAGATGAAAAGTGGTTTGTGTTCTAAGAACTCCACAATTTAAAACAGGTTACTTGGGAAGACATTCATATTTTTTCTCCATTTTCTGTTATAGTGACATTAACAGCAAAATGAATAGACTATCCTGGCAGGAAAGAACCACAGGCTAGTGAATATAACCCTTTGATTTTTCCAGTAACAAAGATGATGCATGTCTCATATGTGCTTCCGCAGAAACTGCATTGTGGCTTTGCTAAACCAGCAATAGTTACCTCAGATGCAAAGCAGTACCTATAGCTGTTGCCATCATACTGATCATACTGATTCTACAATGTCAGGAAGCAAACCCAAAATTAGTCCAGGAAAGGAAAAAAAGTGCAAAGGAAGTGGATCATAGTTACCAGGATTACAGAAACGCTTCACATTTTTGCCTATTAAAAGCTAGTTGTTAAGAATGTAGGAAACAAGTTCTTTTTGTTTTAAATATTAATCTCTGGAAACTGCTCAATTGTGAAGGAAAAGTAACATCAGGAGACTTTCAAAAATGCATTCTTATTAAGAACAGATATTGTTCTTCCTATAAATCCTATGAGTTTAATCTGAGTATTAAAAAAAATAGCTGCAAGATTGTTTTCTTCTTCCATAATGCAATAGCCATTCAATTGTATTGTGCTTCGGTGGGCATGCATGTGTTTATCCTGTTATTCCTACAGTGCCCTGGACATTTTTATTTTAATGGATATTGTCATAGCAATATATCTACTCAGTTCATTTGAATTATTAACATTAATTACTTGACTAAATACTTTGAACAACTATGCACTGACAGAATGATAAGTATTTTGTGGAGAGTTTTTATAGGCAATAAGTTTCTAAAGTAATGTCTTCCTTCCTACCTTCTCAGCCTGGACTTCCAGTGGTTCAGGGTCCAACTGCTGCTGTGCCTCCACGGCCACAACTCTATCCAGAACCAGCAATTCCATTTCCTATTGTCCATCCCACCTCAGTTGCCCCTGTGCAGATGAGACAGCCTCAGCCTGTATTAGTCAACCAGCAGGTGAGAAATGATATATTCTGCCTTTATCTTCCCTTTCCCCTCTACACCTTCAAAATATACTCCTGGAGAACTTCCTGCCGGATTGTTTTGGCAAGATGTTCAAAAGTAGTGTGTCACTGCTTCCTTCATAGGGCTAAAAGAGAGTGATTGGCCCATGGTCAACCAGTAACTTTCTTCCTTAGGCAGGATTCAGGTCTTCTAGCCTGTTGCCTTAACTAGCTCTCTTTTTGCCTTTTAGGTAACTGTTAAGCTTAAAACCACTATGTAACTTGTATTATAGACCCGATTGTCCATTTTATACTGTAATTAAAAGATTTCTTAGCAAATTTTGAGTGCAGCAATAAATTAACAAGTAGGACAACAGTAGCATCTGTGGTGAAGTATCAAAACAAGAAAGCAATTGTGGTATAATTGAAGCCATGCTCCTTTTGTATTGCAATTGACATTGCAGAGATTTGTAGATTTGTAGATTTG